GGCGCTAGGGGGTGATTGGTGAGTGGATCTTCTTCTCTAAGGCTTCTTCTATTGTCACTGTTCCCATCGTCCCCCTTCTAATGATTGCTCTCCGAGTCCACGGGATCAGGATTTCTACTCATTTATTTCGTGAAATCCTGTTCTTTGGGGGCGCAGTCCGGCCCTACTACTCACCATAAGTGTTCCCATACTGCCTCCTACCAAGTTCGAACGCCTTGGGAGACAAACTGGAAGTATTGGCGCAAAATTCGCCTTCTATAAGCGGGGTCCGGTCCTCCCATCTACGATAACTGTTCCCATCCTGCCGCCTGTACCCCTGCCAAGTTTGCATACCCTAGGGCCAAATTGACTATTGCGGCGACTACCCCCTGGTGTTAGAAAGAAACATAGGGAAGTTGGCAGGGGTACAGGCGGCAGGATGGGAACAGTTATCGTTCGTTAAAGAGGTGTTAGAAAGAAACATAGGGAAGTTGAATTGGCCTCCGGGTGGCGGCGTTGCGCATGGGGACGCTGTACATTTCTCACTCGATGGTGTACGCCTTGAAATTTGTCTAGGGCGGGGGAATGGCGAAAATCTACGAGGGCGTTGTTGTCGTTGTCCTGAATTTTGCTCCGCTCTTGAACGTATGCTTGTTGAACGGGTTCATGTGAAAGTATTTGCATGTTGAGTTGTGAGTTAGATCTCTTTTTACGTGGAAGTTCAGGTTTGCGAAATTTAGGATTGCGCTTGACAGAGTTTCTATTCTTAGCGAGACAGAAAGTGGGTGCGTCACCTGTACTGTTTAAGTCAGAGTCAGAATTACTTATAGAATGATAACCAGGAAAGATGAGAAAAGGTTGAAGATGGCAATGAGTTTATTTTTAAATGGTGTTGCTTAATAGGACTACGGAACTGTAGGGTTCTTCTTTTTGTTTCAAACGTGATTGCATATACAAAAAAAACTTCCTTCTTGATTAGTACCACACAGTGGAAAAGGAAAAGGAAAAAGAGGAAGGGAAAAGAAAGATGGAAAAGAAGAAAAATGTTGGTGAATTAATAAAAGAAAAATACGAAGAAAATACTCGCCCGATAGCAGAAGATGGGTCGACCTTCTCGGTCAGACGCTTCCTAAAATACCAATATTAATAAATGGAAATGAATGTGGAAACGATTTTTCATTCACTTGCAAGCGATAGAGCAAATGGCTCATTCCCATTTCAAACTCCTTCAAAGCTCCCCTCTTCCCATGTGTTTTTATGAGGGAATCTTTATAGAGCTCACTCTGCGCGAGTGCATCTTGTTTCGCTGCCTCCAGATCAGCGTTGAGATCTGCCACCCTGCTATGAAATTCTCTACGAGAGAAACAGTGGCGACAGCGTTTCTAAAAACAAATATAACACGGAGGACGTAAATAAATTTTTCCTTTTCTCGAAAAGAAAGTCTCACGGTGGAACAATGCATGACTTCGCGTTTGTCGAAGTCGGAGTGACCACTCTCTGTGTATGAGCTAGATTCTGATCGATTCATGATTGGCTATTCTGCAATACATATTTAATATATAAACATTAAAAGGAAAAGAAGGAAGAACAAGAACAAAAACGAGAAAATGGCTAAATATAGTGGTGTGGTAGAATGAATAGATTCACGCCCGCCCTATATTTATGCCCACCAGCGTCTCCTGGGCCAGAGGCCAGTAGCAATAAACCAGACTTTGATGGACACGTTTAGGACAGAGAAAAAGAAGCCGACTCTCTCGGTTCACAAAAAATTGAGGTGCGTGACATAAATCATAAAGCGAACGCTCCCTCATCAAATCTCCCAGAAAAAGCAATTAATATTGAACATACTAAGAGAATTTGGCAGAAAGGAACATATCAGGGACGTATTTGCCTTTTTTCTACTTTTCGACCTTCGCATCGTATATAATTTCGATTGATTGTTAGGTACATGGCGCAATCCATGGATAAATTCATAATTTATGACCCTACCCAACAATTACTTTTGTGAAAAACGAGGAACACCTTTCAATCACTACCGTGGTATAGCTGTCAGACGGTTGCATGGCGCAATCCCGGCTGAAAGTAGATTTCTTCCCACTAAAACCAATTTTCTTGGTTAAACAATCATTTTGTCAGATATAAATGAGAAAATCACACTATGAAGCTGATTTCTCACGGAATGTTACCCCCGAACCTCTTTTTATGATAAAATTGAATCAAATAAATAGTTTTAACTAAAAATTTACCTCCTGCATTCATGATAGGCTCAAATCAACGGAATTTGATCCCTGGATACCCCTACGAGGTCATATAGGCTTCAGGATGTATAAACCCTGTATTTATGGCCCAAATCCTTCATAACATACATATAATCATTAGGAGCATCTGTTAAACGATTTCATTCAGTAATAGACACTTAAAAAACAGGGAATAGATTGAAACAATTTTCTTCTCCCCAAAAATGAAGGAAATACATGATAATACCTTTGCAGCAGTTCCAAGAAAGATCGCACCGGATAATCTAAAAAGTAAGCGAATAATTAAGTTTCTATTAGTTTGTGATAAACTACCGTAATCCCCACACCGATCACCAAGGTTATAATAGCAGCGCGTACTTTAGGGCACCCCACAATTAATAATATGTCTCAGATACCCCAGGATAGCGAATTTAAGATTACGATTTGTCAAGAGCCATATTACAATACAAATCTGGCCCGGATATAAATAAGCTGGTCATCCTCTGGCCTCCTCTCAATCGACCACCGTAAGCGGTCCAGCTACATCTTCACCGACCAACAACCAACTTCTCTCACACACGACAACGACGATTCCAGAGTCCCCATTGCCACATTGAGGAGCAGCCACCTTTTCGCTTGTACTCCCCAGCTTCCGCATCATATAGTCGTCCGGTGTAGTGTGACAGTTTGCCTCGGCTGGCGCTGGCGAGGATACGACACGCGAATAAAATTCTCAGAGAAGTCAACCATAGAACCCTTCCTGCTATGAACATGGGGGGCCGAGCTCTGATTTGGTTTCCACTTCTCGGCTTTATAACTGTCCTTACTGTACAATTTTACCTATGCTTTCACTGATTTTACTCACAGCCTACATGTGCAGAATCATTGTCGTCAGCTACAGCGTGATATACGCAATACGTCTGCATGTGGCTTACTAAACGCCTAGAATAACCAGTGAACAGTGTCTATTGAACAATCCCTCAGNGAGGTACAGTTCGATGGCTGCGAGCCTTAGAAGAGGAAATGTAGCTCTACTAAGATTTTGTCGTTATCTCTCGGATTCAACGGTGAAGACCTTGCCCAGTAGCTCATCAAAATCCGAAGTAAAACTGAAGGTGAGTCAGGGTTGTTTTTGGATATTTTAAGAAATAATAGCATATCCGAGTAACATTCCTTACAGGGTTGGGTGCAGAAGACTCATAAATGTGGAGCTCTCACATTCCTTCACATTTCAGATGGATTATCTGCTACGCAAGTTCAGGTTGTGGTACCGAAATCATCATGTCCTTCAGGTGAATTGTTGAATATGCTCCCTTTCCTCCTCATCGAAGGTTCATATTTGATAGAGCCATAGGCTGTAAGTGATTCTTCGTATTACATGGCCTATTGCCTCTACCTACGTTTTGTTACCTTTAAATTTCAAAAATTCAAAACGGGTGAAATTATCTTAGAAACTTTGGTGTGGGAATCGATGGTGTTTTTTATTAGCAGAAAAAGCTTGAAACGTAAAGATCCTGATTTCTCATGACCCAGTGGTTTTGACTTGCATGTTTTGCGAATCTGTTCTGATTCCATGCCATAGAGTTCGTTTCGATTGTCATCACTTCGAAGTGCACAGCATATCTGCACGTAGTCTATTCTAGAATTTTAGGGAAAAAAGGTGCCTACGTTCTTCTTTTACGCTAACAAAATCAGCTCTTTCCATCAGTATCCGAGTATTAACCCTTTACTTTCGTTTGTTTACCGTTTTGCTGCGGTGACGGCAGATGTCTTTCATCAGCAGCTTTGCCAGGGGTATGATCTTGACTGGAAAGGCTTCTATGGATTGATAGGTCATTGTTTACTAGTATTTTTTCTAGTTCCCGTTGGTTGTGCCGTTTCCATCAAAGGTCAGTGGCAACCTAGCTCAGGTTCACAACAAGACATGGAAGTCCTAGCAAACGAGTGCAAAGTCCTAGCTACTGATGTTGAAGTAGGTCAATATGTTCTCGGTGTCATGTACCCTTGATGTGTGGTCATAAAGAGCTTTTATGGCTTCTCTCTTGTGGGCAGAGAAACCGACATAGTTGATCATATCCTGCTCATTCAGCCGAGGTATTCGTCTTTGTCTCCGGATCATCTCCGTAAAAGCGTTCATCTTCGCACACGTTCTCCAGCATTTGCAGCTTTACTTCGTTTGCGATCTAGGTTGCTCTCCATGACGCATGATTACTTCGCGGTGGGTTCTTTTTGTAAAGAGGATCTTTCTCAGACAAAAAACACCTTGCTAATTACCGTCTAATACAAGGGGACGAATCGAGATGGAAGCGTTGTGTGAGGTTTGCTTCAAAGTCATGAAGTAATAATGGGGGGGGGGGGGGGGGGGGTGGAGGTCCGAAAAGAACAGTGAGAGAACTCTGCATTGACAGAGTCAGTTCAAAGAGCTACTGTAAAGACTCAAATGTTGATGGGTTTCTTTCTAAACATATCAATATGTTTATACATATGTTACATACATATGTTTAACATATGTTTATATGTGGTACTGGTATCGGAAAAGTCTCGGAAATAGGACTTTTCAATAGTAACGTTCGTTAGTGTGGAAATACAAGAATTCAAACATGTTAGTTTCACTAAATAATTCGGAACAGGACAGCAAAATAAAAATAACAACAGTAGTAAATAATAGCAGAGCGAATAGGAAAAAGACTCCGTTAATATTCCTTCCTTGCATTCGCTCCTTGCAACATCCCTTGCTTGAAGAAACCCATGTTTTCTTCAGAGCCGTGGATATGTTCATATTGATACTCCTATGATCACCCTGAACGACTGTGAGGGAGCAGGAGAGGCATTTTGCATTGCCGTAAGTGAGACCTTCGCAATATCCTAGTTCAGAACGGTTTCTTTGCTTGAATGTCGAAGTAATATCCTCCTAACCGCAAGCTGATCTCACTCTGATGCTTTTATTTCAGACGACCTCTTCTACAAGTGAAGAATTCTTCGATAAAAAAGATGTCTACCTATCTGTTAGCGGCCAACTACATCTTGAAGCCATGGTGAGGTTGGTTTTTTTCTCTCATAGCTTATGTTTTCATTAATAGAGGGCAGCTGAAAAGTGATGGTTTCATTCAATGCGATGACCGATCAAAAGATATGATAGCAGAAACAGGACCAATAAGGGGGAGTGATCAGACCAACTTAGATAGGAACAGCCTCGAACTTCTCTCTTGTCATAACCACTTCCCCCGGTTGCATTGAATAGCAGAATGGACGAAGTGTGTATATCCATTCTTCGCAACACTGTCGGAAAATTCCGGGAGTTTTTGTTTATGACCAGTTTGGTGAGGAGAACGATGCGTTAAGTATTATAACCTTCGAGGTGTTCACTTTACCCACCAAGTTGTAGTCACTGTAGTGCATGTAGACGTTTCAACTATCGCAATGATGCTGATCCAAGTTTCGTTGCAGCGGTATCTCCCAAGTGTACACTATCAGCACAGGGCTCCGAGCAGATAAACAACAGAGTAGAAACCATCTTACTGAATTTAAGATGCTGGAAGCGGAATTGTCATTTTGCGATGTATGTCAATTATAGCATACCTTGATACATTCAATTATGCTCTTAATCTTCATTCTTCTAGGATTTGGAAACTTTACTAGCACTCGCTGAAGACTTCCTTTTATCTTCTATTCGTGGTCTAGTAAATGATCCACATATGGCAGATGACCTCAAGCTGATCTCTCCTTTTTCATCAAAGGTTCGGTTTGGCACCTTTAAGGTTTGGACGATTCCCGGACATTTTCAGTATAATACACACGCAACGGACTTGAGCTTCAATTTATGCTTAAAGTTACTTCCACTTTACTCCTTTTACTGATGGTTTCTCTTAAGCTCTTTCAGAAGACTACTTTCTACGTAAATTTATATGTATATTCCTCACTTATCATCTTTTGTTCCGAATCGCATATGAAGTTAACTAGGTAGCTTTCATGTATTTTATTCCTATGCCTGAATTTCGTGGTCTCCAAGTACTCTTGGTACCCTTTCAATGTACAACTTAGCTTGTGTAATAAGCGTCGTTCTTTTTGGCAGGGCGTCCCATAAACTAGCGATACCCGAGTTCGGAAGTTCGCATCTCGACTTTGATACATAGGTAAGCTGGGAGAGTACGATTCATAGAAGGCACAGATTTACAGTTAGGATCAAAGAGGCACATGATTTACCCTAGACAGAAGGTTTAATCTATATTTGTAAACCATTTCACTCATTGCTAAGCGTGTACAACGCTTCATGTTATTTTCCGAACCTCTTTTCAATAATTTTTGCAAATACGATAGGCAAATTGAATGTCTTTTAATTTTTAACACTTCAAACTTGAACAATGTGTGAACATTATAGACATTCAGGGATACTTGGAGTCCTTACGCTGTATTGCTGATGGACCACAATTTCCACGGGTTCCTTATGCCGACGCTTTGCAGTTGCTCATTGATAAAAATCAAAAGGTCACAGGAAGGGGATTCAATAAGCAGAATGAAATGTTTTTGGTTGGTTACGTGTCATGACTTTGTATATTCCACTGAAGACCGAATTAATTTCGTCTATTACTCAGGTGAGTTACTACAACTCTCCCGTTTTTGTCACCCATTTTCCTTCTGATCAGAAGCCTTTCTACATGCAGCGCTCACCCGACGGAAATGTGGTGAGTGTCAATACCAGCACGAGTTTTTTCATTTGTACTTCTTTACTCTTTTCAGACAGAGTCGTTTGACTTAATTTGTCCAGTTGTGGGTGAACTTGCAGGAGGTTCTATTCGTGAACCATCAATAGAAGTACTCCGAAAACGGACTCCTGTTATTGATTGGTATCGATTTGAATATCAGTGCATTACATATATTATGTGCGTGCGGTGTGGCATTTGCGAATTCAAGGAATACAGAACGAAAACATCAACACAAAATTCGGTTCCCAGATTGAAAAAACGTGATTGGCTTCACTGTTCGCTTCCGAAATCTCTACATCGAAACTGCTTCTCTTCCACCCCATGAGTTGTTGCTCGAATTGTTTTTGGCTTTTATGATTGGCTATTGTCTTCGATTACCGTTGCCAATGCTTTTTTCACCAGAAAAAGATTCTCTTCAAATGCGTAACCTGATGTTGGCCTAATAATTATTGTTAATTGTTCTTAAGGTACTCGGAGCTAAGAGAACGTGGAAAACCAATATCTGGAGGCTTTGGAATGGGCTTTGAAAGGCTTCTGCAAGTTCTACTTGGCGTACAAAATATCAAGGACACTATTCCATTCCCGCGATGGTACAAGCACTGCCAGTGTTAAGTAAGCCACTTTCTCAGGAGTCAGTTTCTAGGTCCTGTAGTAGATATCAGCTCATAATGTCACCACCATTTGTTACTTGTTCTGGGATGGTGGCCATATTCTTGGTCCTAGTCGTGTGCACTTAGTGTTGTCTTTGTTTACGTTGATGCATTTGTTGGATACATAAAGAGATTATCATTTTTGTGAGGAAACCAACAGAAGGACATCCATATCGTAATGTTTCTTAGCATATTTGTCTCTGCATTGGAAAATAGCTATTTGATTATTATCAGACTAATGGTGAAGCTCAAAAGCCGATATGTTCTTCTGGAAATTTACAATGTTTCTGAGGGCAAACTGAATCTATCCCCAACGATGCTTTTCTCTGCTATAGCCGAAAACGTTGGGGAGTTCCACGGCGATTTCGGATTTGCAATCTGCCGATCTGGTCTAGCGGTGCGTGGATGCATTTTTATTTCTACCTACTTAAGTTCATGATCAGCTCTGTTTATTTATGAATGCCCTAGTGTCCTCTGCTTTGTTCAGAAATGGCACTTATTTCAGGTAAAAGTCGTCGATGGCGATATCGCGTTGATTCGCGTGGAATCAGCCAGTGAGAAGTATGTTACCAGCGTATTACCATTTATAACCAACATTGGTGGTAATGAAGTTGTGCTGCGTTCGCTCTTTGTTGGTTAGTCTATCAAAGTTCCGTCGAAACTAGAAGTTGTTTCATTGAATAGTACTTTACTACAGGTCGCAGTGTTCGGGCATGTGAAAAATTTCTTATAAAATATAGAAGGAGCGAACTGTATGGTATGCTGAAGTCAGCGAAGTCTGGAGGTAAGCGACTGAATAGTTATAATCAGCAGCCCTACATTTTGAATATGTTTCAGTGGAGAAAAACGCTATACTGAAAGCGTTGAATGATGCTAGTGGCCAGCTAAAAGAAGCACCGGCGCAAACGAAGTCTTCCACTTCTTCTTCAGCGTGATGGTTTCCGTTCTAGCAGGATTCTCATATGGCTGGAGCTCGACTGGGACATCTGCAACCGTGTAGTTCTTTTTGCTATACTTATGGAACCGGTTCGGGCGAGTTTCGAGAGAATAGGTTGTGGTTATAAGATAATTCAGTAATACTTACGTGTCAGAAGTGAGTGGGTTGGAGTGACTTCAGAACGCTGGAAGGGTGAAGATGATTTCAATATCATTGTGTGATGTGAATAACGTTATACTTGTAATGATCGCTGGTATGTTTAGGAAATTTTGTTCAACAATTCGGTAGATACTGCAATGAGTTAAGTATTTTTTTTTACGCTTTTCCACATATGTTCTCTAATAGGCAGTCTAGCGCAGAGAGAGTGCATGTGCGCTTGACGCTGCATCGGTGCATCACATCTGGCTCTGCTCATAAATTGTTTTTTTTTCGTGCACTACCGCTTCAGAAACTAAACCGGGAAACGGTTCAATTTTTTTAGTAAGACTTTTCTTGAATCTCGATGGGGAAAAAGGCAGTCAGTCCTTTTGTGTAAAGTACACTTCGACAGGCCTGTGTAGAGAAGGAAAGGTTACTGGGCGATAGGTGACCTGTTTCTAGCCCGCCGGTCTTTTGTGTAAACGGAGCCAGATTTATGGAGTTCTAGCGATTGCGGAACTCTGCTGAAATCTGTGTGAATCTCATCTAGACACATACGTTTTACTCCTTTGCAATTACTAACATCCACATTTTTTTTAAGTCATCTTCATAGAGCGCAGTGGAACGAAACATGTGCTATGGAATCCCTCGATACGGAATCCTTCTATACCAATGTAAGTAACGATGCTGCTATGGAAGTTGTGCTAGAACTTTTGTCCCAGCACGAAAGCAAGTTAACATGTACGGGCTTTAAGTAGGCCGAACAATGGTTCGCCTACTTTCGCCATTGCCATCGTGGCAAAAATAGAAGTGCCTGTACTTAAGCATCTCCCTAGCTGTTTTCCCGGTACATCGACGACTGCTTCATAGTTTGCTCTACGCAGAACGAGATGGACGTTTGTTTAGATCATATAAATGTACAATCTGAACTGATAAAAGGTATTAGAGAAAAGTCCCTCAAAAACTGATTGCCTTTCCTCGATGTTCAAGTGAGAATTGGTAAGGGTGACTATTCCACGAAGTGGTATAGAAAGCCCAACAATAAAAACATCACTGTTCCTTGGAATCCGCGCATCCTCTTCAAACCAAACGAGCAGTGCTCAGGAGCATGTTTCGAACTGCTGCAGAAATTTGCTCCGGAGGGAATGAAGAGAATGAAGCGCCGAGTCCGTGAACATAGCATGCAATATTGCTGAGTTTGACGGGTCCAAACTTCCTGGCAACCGAAAGCATCGTGCAGGGAAGGTGACTGTGTGTCACTGGTATGGTCTACAAGATCACAGCCAAAATTGTGGAGACAAGTATACTGACGAGACAGCTAGACCCCGCTATGTACGAATTGAAGAACATTACCGTAAGGCCAGGTCGCAGCCGACAACTGCCCTAGGTTGCCAAAATCTCATAATGGAGACGATTTTGGGTCACGGTCGCGCATGAAACACAAAGAGTCGCGAGGAAGGCCCTAAAGGCATTCTGGATCCGGGTCATGGAGATCCAAAAATGAGCCAGGAGGGGGAGTGCGCGAACTCACCTCCTTTGACCGTGACTTTTGAACTCGAGACAGCCGGTTCTACTTCGTTCACGGAGGCCGATTTTTTTGATCAAGGAGGCACGGTACTTCCATCCACCCAATATTGTGTGTTGATTGAGTTGGTCTCAAGATATTATGGGATGTATAGACGCTCGATTGGGTAAGTTCATAAGTTTGATTCCATTCTTTCAGGCTCCGAAGAAGACGGTTTCTCCGAAACGTAAACCAACAAGGTAATGTTAACTTCGTGTAGAGTTAGATCAATAAAGTTATTCCGACAGTGAGTTATTTCGACACTGCCGAGATTGACATAAAGCCGCATGTTGAGATTGTTTGAAAAATATTCCTCAACTTTCAGATAGGCAACTAAAATAGACGAGCGATCGATGGGAAGGCAGCAGGATATGGTTGCGCGAATTTCGACAATACATCTGTACTACGTGCAATGAATCTATTCTATTCTATTCCTATTCTATTCTATTCTGATCTATTCTATTCTATTCTATTCTAATCTATTCTATTCTATTCTATTCTGTACTGTTCTATTCCTACTTTAGTTAAATCTACGTATTCTATACAACGCCCGTTTTAACGTTGAGATTTGAGCTGTGATTCATGCATAAAATTCATATTTACATATGTATACAGGAGTGGAGGTAGGGCGGCGCTGCATATGTTTAGAACGAGTAAAGAAGGTGGGACGGAGCGATAGACAAGATCGATACGTTCACTGATGTATCTGTGGCTACCTCGAAGTTTCTTATAGATTGTTACCCTTGGACCTCCATTGCAAATTGCACACTGTTTACCCATTGCAAATGCAATCGCAAAAACGGAAGGCGTTGTCTCCCAATGGAAAAGAGGAAGAAGCTGTTCGTCAAGCTGCAGAAAAAGACGACGCTAACAGCCTATTCTAAACTTGTCAACAAACATGGAACATGATGCTGCGTCGAGAGCTGGAAAGGCACCACAAGAAAGTCCATGCTCGAGCATTACTTCACGTGCATTCAGCTGTCAAAGCCTCAAAATACATCTAGAAAACTGGAAGCCTTCCAGGGTGGTCTGGAAATCATGCCACATATTGTGGGGGGACCACTTTTACACAAAATCGATCATATCTCGGTTTCTAGGCAAGATAGAGACCTGATCGTTTTTGCATTCGATTCAGCGCCTCAAAATACATCTAGAAAACTAGAAGCCTCCCAGAAGGTGGTCTGGAACTCACGCTACATATTGTGGGGAGGACCACTTTTACACAAAATCGATCATATCTCGGTTTCTAGGCAAGATAGAGACCTGATCTTTTTTGCAATCGATTCAGCGCCTCAAAAAACATCTAGAAAACTAGAAGCTTTCTAGAAGGGTGGTCTGGAAATCATGCCACATATTGGGGGGGACCACTTTTACACAAAATCGACCATATCTCGGTTTCTAGGCAAGAAAGAGACCTGATCTTTTTTGCATTCGATTCAGCGCCTCAAAATACATCTAGAATATTAGAAGCCTTCAATTAGCAGACAAGAAAGTGTGGTAAGTAAGAAAAAGGTACATATACAGCAAATCCATTGGCTGTAGAGTCACAGCCTTCGAACCTTTCTTCTGAACAGAAAAGGAGTCAAGCCACATGATGAAGTGAAGGCTGTAAACAGTTTCAAGGAAAGCTAGACAATTGCGAGATGCAGAACAAGAGCTCTCGTACAACAAGGAAGCGGTGAGCGACGTGATCAGCGAGTTTTCGCGATTGCAGTAAAGAAAAGATTGCGAAGATCAAGGTTTTCTGCAAGTCAGATCGAGTGAGGCGACGTAATCAGAAAGCATCAGTTTAGAAGTGTTGTAGAGTTGTGGCGGCTGGGACCAGACAGATAGCTCTCAAATATCTTCCTAGAGGAGCATTATGACGGGCCTATGAGTGTTGAGTGTGAGATTTGTAGAGCAAGGCATTTCAAATCCGAGTCGTAAGCGGGCATAGCAACTTTTAATGATTGCAGTAATCATGGTAGCATTATCTAGGGCCCTTTACTAGCTATCCCAGACAACTCTACCGTTACTAACAAGTCAAGACGCCAATGAAAGGGAGTTTGGTGAACACATGCGCAACTACAACAGCACTGCACTGCGCTTGCGTCTATTGTAGCTGAGCTGGATATCCCACGAAGGCCTTACTGCATTCAAAATCACGGCCAAATTTACCACAGAAATGGTCCTGCATGTCCAGAGGAAGGTCAGACGCCACGATACGGTCAGGTGTACATTCTTGACGCATCAAAGGCGGCGGGAACCCAGCAAACAAACTTTACCCTACTTTGATCCGATCTCTCAGCACGCTCTTCCACGAAATCAGTGCTTTTGCGCACGCGTACAAATGCTGAACGACATAGCTCTTGAAGAGAAGGCTTCAGCTGCAGGGAAAGGGAGAACGGCGGTGCCAGTGAAGACGATATTTCAAAGGTCGAATTATGATCCACGCCGTTGCAGTGAACCATGTTGGAGAGGAAGATGTACCGGCAAAGCATAATCTCGCCGTGCGCTTCCGATCAGGAGGCCTGCGCAATGTTCGCGCTTACAACGCCGAATGTGACCCGCTCTTCTAGCCTGTTTTACTTCCACGTGGAGAGCTTGCATGGCACCCTAACATGTTAAAGAACCCGTCAGAATATCGTAGAGCGATTATAACACAGAAGGAATATTATTCAAACATGATAGCCGTAAGAGTGGTACTTAATCCTCTTCACTTCGCCGGCAAGCTCTTCCAACAGTTTTTGGTAGACAGCCATGTAAGAATTAAACAGAACTGTTTGAACCACGACCGGACCACCAAAGGGAACCCCGAGCAGGTAAATATTGCGGTCCTGCTATGTGACAGGAGATACGAACATCGAAGGCCTGCCACCAACGAGGAGGACCATCCTGTCAGGGCGGGACAGAGAGAACCGTACCGGTGGGGTCCCGCCAAAGAGGAAATGCCCGTAAGATTAAATACCGAGGAGTCGAGGGTGGTCAAGAGTACTGTAGGTGATCAGTAGTGATCAGGTGGTAGGAGGCTAGAAGTAGTAAACATGCCTGGGGAAAGAAAAGGCGCGGGAAAGGCCATATAAAGGGGGAACCTTGAGAGGGAGAGGTCGTCTTTTGTTTTTCCTCCTGCCCCGCCGCCAGTACCCCCCGCGGAGTTTTGGCTCCGTGCCCTTGGAACCTTAGTGACTGCCCTTAGGTGAACCTTTGTGGTTCGCNCCCTGACCCTCGGGGGACTTTTGTATTGTATTGTATACTTGATTTCGGTTTTTCGCATTAGTATTGTATTTGTGTTCGGAGTTTTTATCGTTGTGTTAATA